TATGTTTGAGAAAAATTCTGTCATAAAATCTTTTTTCAGATAAAGAGTAAGATACCTGGCATTTCAGAATATAAGTTCTACCAACCAAAAAGAATAAAAAGATCAAAAAACAACAATAGAAATTATAGAATATAAACTCCATTTAAACTCCACTCCTTAGCTTGGCACCATATTGAATTTCGCGGTCGCGCTGGTAAAGGCCTGGGGACTGGGTGCTCTACCGTATCTGAAATAGCCTTCACCGTAAGGAACAGAGATTTTCAAAAAAATGGTTTTTAAAAAGTTTTAAAAGAATTTTAAAAAGCAAAAAAGTTTAAAAAGTTAGATTTTTAAAAAAGTTAAAAAAATTTTAGACGGTTAAAAAAGTTAGGGTTAGGAGTTAGGGATTACTGGTTAGGATAAGGGGATTAGTGGTTAGGGGTTAGTGCCGCGACCGGTTGCCAAACATGAGGTTTTGTGGACCGGCACGTGACAGGGTTTTGACAATCGGCAAATAGAAAAATTGAACTTTGACACTAACTAACAATAACAGTTATAAGACTATATAACAATAAGATTTAGTTACCTTTGTTCTAATTTATGCTTTTGTAGTCTAGAATTCGAACCACAGTAACTAGGCATGTGTGTTATATAAAGTTGTGAATTGGGTATAAACAAACGTTACCCAAATTTGTCTAATCGAGCTAGACTTGGGTCAGCACACGCATTTTCATAAAAATAGCAACCCTTCGGCAAAACAGGATTCTGATTATCATATTGAGCGACATCAAAATCATGGGAGTTTCTGCAAAGTGCATTAAAGCGATATTACCTGTAGCACTATTTCATGACCTAAACATCGCACAGAGACACTTATGTAAGTTTTCTATTCACATTGGTCTTTCAGACATGCACCTCCCGCCGTGGGAGCGGCAGATCAAGATCATAATCAGGAGATTATGGTATTGTGTCAATGTATTGACGAAGTTTTTATTATATTACCAATATCTTATCTAATAACATTAAAAGATATCAGGGTCGTAGACACTGTACTACTCGCTGTAACTGTACTATTGTATGTGTATATTGAAAGTGTATAATTAGTGCAAGTGTAAGTTAAGTATAAATGTAAAGCAATTCGAATTCAAGAATGTTCTCTACGCGATCGCTTGTATATATTGTAATTATATTTTCTCAAAATTGTACATATCCTTTTGAACAAGCTAAAAAAGTTTACTCATGGGTAATAAATCAGCTTATTTTAACTCTTCAATTACTAGTGTCGCAGATCAGCGAGCACGCGAATGTAAACAAACAGCTAAAAATAGACCCAATTTGGAGATTTATAACTTTTCAGAAAATTGCTTGCAGACGAGTTTTATTCCTGATTACTTAACTCTAGTAGGTACATTTTCAAATTACATGCCTTTTGAACTTCAGATAGGTGCCACTTTTGAGCTATTTTGAGTAAAATATGAGCAATTTTCAGCCTCTCGTCGCCATCTTGAAAACATAGTTTCGTAAAACTATAAAGAAAATCGTATTAAGCAAATAAAGTTGTTCAATCTCAATGTAAACGAGAGTATTAGTGTTAATCTTGTATGTGAACAGTAACTGAAGGGGATTAACGCATCACAACGTTTTTAAAAAATCAGATGAATTCTTGTAAAATTCCCCTTCATTCCCTGTCTGAAAATATTCTCGCAAGGTCAAATATTAACAAGGCTATAACTCCCATAAAACAGAAAGTTGAAACGTTCTGAAAGAAGCTCGATTAATATTGACCAAAGTCTAGTTCATATGCAAAATATGAGCTAAAGCTATTTCTCCTTCCCCAAACCAGTGAGTGGATTTTACTGAGAGGCCCTCTTAAATAAAGTAGAACTTCAAAATTATTAGAGAGCGGGGGGCTGCAACATGCCGGACCAGACTCACCTCCATAACCGTATTCACAAGCATAAGTCACCCAAGCCAGAACAATACCCCAGGCTAAGTGTCTTGTTGTATTGTACAATATTTTTTCAGCCATTGTCCATGGTCGTGCGTCCTCATGGAATGCTGTGAAGGTTCCAAAGCTAACAGATAACGCAATGGCAACAGTAATAAACCAGAAAATAACAGCAAGCGGCTGAAAAATAAAAGTTGGCATTTTTTTAAAAACAAAGCCAATATCATGGTGCATGAGGAAACCTAATGTTAAGCCTGGTTTCCATATGATCGTAAATCGTAATGGTCTTAAAAATGGAGTAACGATCTTTCTCAACGGCCAGTTTATAATAGTTTATACTTGTAAATCGCATATAAATAATAAGCATTCTCTAGTTATATCACTCCACGTATTTTCAGTTCTAAAATGTTGTATTTCGGCTGATGAAAAAGATCGTGACTCAATCTTTATGACCGTTACAACCATATTGAAACCAGAATTTATTGGTTGATGAGAGACTTAAACCGAACCATCAGTAATTTCTATATCTGAGTTAAACATATCTCAAAGAGATCATGCTCACCCAACTCAGTTGTTTGGCTCTAAACGCTCTTCTGTGCATGAGACAGCCAATGACAAGTCCGACCAAATAAGGATGAATGCGACAGTACGGTTTGACATAGAGATAATTAAATTCCTCCATTTTAGAAGAACTGTAAGGGATTCAGTATATACATTTGTATTACACTCGTGATTTAATTTGGAGCCATTAGCTGGCATATGAAGGAAGGTGCTAGCTTCTGTTCGTCAGAGGGGGCCACATTATAAAATTTGCTACCCATCGTTATAAAATGTCCAAAACATGTATTGACGTGGGGAAGGGAGTGGGGATACGGTTACATATATATTTTGAAACATAAGGTGCCGCTCTTACCTTTACTCGTCCCCAGGGGCGTAGGAAGCACCTGGAGTTTGGGGGGGCACCGGCTTGTAGGGGCACATTACTATCGGAAAGGGCACCTAAAAAATTTTTCCCGGAAAT